AAATACCTCTTCTCCCATGGACACTTCATCCATAATGGTTATCCCTCCGGCCTTAATGTGGGAAACTTTGTGTCGATTAAATTAATACATAACAAGTATATGTCATGGGAAACCCAAATGTTGTTGTTGATTGAGAATTGGGAATTTTTGGATTTATTAATGATATTTGCCCTATGCCTAGTCAAAATATTTATTCTCATAATGAAATTAAAAATCCAAACTACAAATTATGGTTAAAGTCTGATCAGCTTCTTAAAGCTTGGATCACAGGGACCTTATCAGAAGAGTGTCTCAGTCTTGTTGTTTGCCTTGAGACTTTCATAGATCTATACAGGCACTTTTCAATCCAAGGAGTTCCAACTGTCTCAGCAACTTCAACTTTACAAGAAAGGGAATTCTACCTTATCTGTGATGATTTAGCAAGTGTTAACAAACTCATACCATATGAAAAATAAAGTATTTTGGCTTCTTAATGACTTAAACCCCACTATGATAGCTTTGCAACCACTGTACTTAAGCCACAAATCCCTTCTTATTATAATATTATACCTCTTCTTCTAAGCAATGCCATTAGCAATCAGCCCCATGCTTTGAAGAACATTCATATCTAAATTAAAATATGGCCTTTGTTGGACAACAGAAAAATTTTAGACGCAACTGAGGTGACTGGAATTACAGAGGTAGAGGGAGGCACAACTTTGGTGGTCAACAATTTTTCAACTCTTAGGAATATACATTGTTCAAAAAGGCTAGATTAGTAATGCGGGATGTGGGGTTGACCTAGACAAACCAAGAAAACGATTGTACACCTCCTATGCAATACATGAATCAAGGCTTCCAACAAGATTCCCATATATAACAATTAAATCAAACATCCTAAGATAAGTATCAAATTTGTGAAAATTTTGGATATACTGCATTGAAATATTGGTATTGGTTCAACCACACATATCAAGTAGAAGAAATTTCTCAGGCTCTTCTTGTAATGATTATACCTCCACCCATATGATAAGAGATCCAAGTAAGTTATAAAACCATTATCTCTATAGAGATATAAAATAATCATGGTTGGGAATGATGAACATTTGACTATTTTAGATTCTGATGATGCAAATATTACTACTGAGTCTAAAAAATTTAATGTCTTTAATATTCTTTTGGTGTCTGATATAAAAAGAATATAACAAATAAAAATAATATGCTATATATTAGCCAATTTATGGCAGATTTTTCTTGTATTTTTTAGTTCTAATCAAGTAATTCTCTAATTAAAGAAAGGAGCCCATGAAGAATTCTGGCCAACGAGAGTAAAAAGGAGGATTGTACACACTTGAGGAAATGAAGTGAGTCTTATTCCCTATTGAAATAAGACAATAGTCAACAGCTTGGATATCCTCAAAATAAAGTTGTCGATACTTAGAATTCAAACAGTTGATTAATGTTAATGCATGGAATAAATCTCATTCTATCTGTGCTAATTGTCACATGGGAAAAAGTTGTGAGCTCCTATTAATGGGACTGACAAAACCTCTACTGAACCTCATTCCTTCAAACTTATGGGGCTCTGTTTCAATTTTATTTAATTAAAATTATCAATTTATGTGGTGTTTATTGATAATTATACTCATTTTACTTGGATTTATCTATATTTATAAAATTTTATCATATAGTTGAAAGGATATTTGATAAAAAAAAATTCAAAATTTTCAGTGTAATCGAGGTTGCGAATTAGCTAAAAAAGAATTTATTGATCCTCTTAATGATAATGTAATTATGCAACAATTATCTTGTCCAGGAACTCCCAAACAAAATGGAATAGTTGAAAGCAAATATAGAAATATTGTATGTTTAATACGGGAATTCTTGACGCTTTTGGGTTGAAGCCTTCCATACTGCATCACTTGTTATTAATAGGTTTCTCTCTACCGATTTAAAAATGGATTCACCATATTCACTATTGTCTGCCCAATTTACAAATAGGAGGATTGTTGGCAACTTAGTCTATCTTACTGTGACACAACCTGATATAGCCCATGCAATTCAACTTGCAAGTCAGTTTGTTTTAGATCCTTGGACATTTCATCTTACTATTATTCATTCACATTAAATTCGGTACCTCCGATCTACACTAGATGTTGCTCTTTCATGCAACAAATCCATATATTTAGTACTAAGGGCAAATCCCGATGCTAATTGTTGGTTGCCCAGATACATGTGTTCCACTACCAGTTATTGTGTCCTTCTTGAGACTTCCGTAATCTTTTGGAAATTCAAGAAATAACCTACAATATCAAAGTCTTCTACTGAGTTTGAATATCGAGGTATGTATTCTGCATGTGGTGAAATTATTTGCTAAGACAACTTCTTGCGGATCTTAGAGTCATTTCAATTTCTACGACCCCCTTTGTTTTGTGACAATCAAAGTGCAGCAAAAATTGCGAGCAACTCAATTTTCCATTTACAAACCAAGCTTATTGAGATAGATTGTCATTTTGCATGAGAAAAAGTTGAAAGGAATAAGTAACATTAAGTCATGCCGCTTCCAAGGATCATATTGTTATCATTTTCACTAACATCTTGACTAAAGGGCCCCAAGAGTATTTGATGAGAAAACTAATGTTGGTACTCGCTCATAGAAATACAACATAGATAATGAATATGATGTATAGCCAAACCACAACCCAAATACACACATATTTATACTGTTCACTCAAAATAGGTTATTTTTTGATGAATCCAATGTTTCAAAATATGTCTTCTAACCCCTGGCACTTTAAAACTATTTTTTAACCTAAACAAATGTGATAAAGGCATGCTCTTTCTAAACCCAATCATTTTTCTTTTTTCATTTATATATCCCAAATTTATCTCTCTTCTTATGTCTTTCTCTCTCCTCCAGATAACATCTCACCTCCATGAAGCCCTTCTCTCTCTCTTGGAAGTTTGGGAGGATGGTTTTTAAAAAAGGCATGTATTTTTAGATTTGTTTGGCTTAAAAAAACAAATTTAAATTAGCTCAGGGTTACAAGAAATAAAATCTACAATTGTTATATCCCAAGATATCTTTTAAAACTTTGGGTCTATCTTGAAATGAAACTTAAAAATAGGGGGTGTAGAGATATTTTTCCAAAATTAAAATAACCTCAATTTTATATGCATCGCTTTCTCTCTCTAAAACTTAATATTTGAGTTAGTTTTTCTCTCTAAAATTTTAATATGGTCTCTCTAAAACTTCAAATTTGAGATAGTTTCTCTATCTAACAATTTGAGATAGTTTCACTCTCTAAAAAATTCATATATTTTCTCTCTAAAAAAATTTGTATATTTTCTCTCACTAAAATTTGATATAGTTTCCCTTCCAAAAAAATTTAGTATGTTTTCTCTTTTTAAAATTTGATATAATTACTCTCTCTAAAATTTTGAAACTTTTTTGTTCTTCAGCAACAAAATATGTCACTTCCATAAAATGTCAATTCCACATATTTTGGTGGAATTGAGATTTCCAAAATTTAGGCTTAAAATAAGCATTTAGGAACCCTAAGGAAATCTCAATTCAACGGCAATATCAATTCTAAGTGAACCAAATACGATTAGCCCAGCTTTTTCAAGAAAAGTGACTACTAAAAATCTGAATCCAAAGAACCAAACAAGCCCTTAATGATTTTTTGAGATGCACCTTAATTTGATTGTCTAGAGCCTCATCCTTATATAAACCTTTTCTTTAAAAAAATCACATCAAAGTTGAATCAGACTCCAAACCTTTTCTTTAAAAAATTCACATCAAAGTTGAATCAGACTCCCAAATCCGAGCAGGCTCGAACCGCCTGAGCTAGCTCATCGGTTCTCTAGAGTTTTCCTATTAAATAATTAAAAGGTCACAAAAGCACTAGGGAAAACCCTGGGACCCGGACCAATCCAAACCGGCTTAAGCTAATTCGGCAATTATCGAAATACTGATGATTGCTGGATAACACTTTCAACTAGGCTGTTATCAAGACCCTTCAAAACCGGTGCTCCATGCCTGATACAGAGCCAATTTAGATCTTCAATTTTTTTGGGACATTAAGTTGGGATCCTACATTTTTAAAATTTTTAATCCCAATTTACCGAGGTCAAAAGTGAACCAGCTAAAACACAAAAAGATGGTTTATTAGTTGAGGGTCAAGTGTTTCAAACCACCAAGCACTTAGTGGCTTCTTTTCTTTTTTTCTTGTTTGGGGGCACGCTTCTTCTTCCTTTTTTTTCCTTTTTTAGGGGGGCGCAAAGGGGGGGGGGGGTTTCTAAGCAAGGACACGGTAATTTTTTGGGACACAAATCAGTATTTTTGTGTTTGGACTGTTTGAAAGTTGGATTTTTAAAGCATGTTGTAGCAATACGAGCTTGGCACTAAATATATTTTTTAAATATAATTTCATCCTAATTTTAAAGCATATATAATCTCTGCATCCATCTTTATGATAGATGCTTTATACCTTTGGACCGTAGATATACGGTCCAGCCCACATGAAACAATTTCCTTCAAAAAATCTAAATATTTAAAAGTTTTTTTGTTTTGGATAGCTCGAAAGTTAAACTTTTAAGCCCTATAAAAAAATGAGAATTAAAGAAAAAAAAAAAAGGCAATAAAACCTCACCATAACTCATCCCAAAATATAGACCATTCGGTAGTACATCTTTTTTCTGTACGTAAATTCTTCTCCTATTTTTTGCCCTCAAGGAAAACTCTGTCAGAGTAGTGATTTGATGGCAATCTGTGTTTCAGATGAATGTCAAGTTCTCTCTGTGTCTGCCCAGAGCCAAAAAAAACCCTCGATGAACAAGCTGTGTTGTGCAAAACAATTTTCAACATCAGATCGAGGTCACCATTCCCATACTCCTTAATTACTTCCATTCATGAAATTTTCTCAAATAAACCTAGCTTTAGAAAATCTGCAGCAATGTAAAATTTCATCATAAATTCACACCTTGACATTTACCCAAAAAAGATTCACACTTCGACATGGCACAAACAATTAAAGCACAAGCACCACGAAACACATACAAGGTTTTGGAACATTCTAGCTGATAAACAATAGAACTTAAAAGTCTTACAACTTTACAGATTGAGCCCACTCAATAATAATTTAACTGCCCCTCCATAACTGCCCCTCCAACAGTCACAAACATTGATTGAGGGAAGACCGCATCCCATTTTATTTTTATAGAACATCGTATATTCCCCTCTGCCTTTGGGCCTTCAAGATAGGCAACATCAATTGTCACTCCATCCCTAATTAAGATATGGTTCCCTCAGCCATATGAGAATAGTTTAATCATACCTATAACTTCCATATGAGAACAGGTTAATCATACCTAAAATTTCCATACAAATTTCTTACATCCAAGGGATGACATAGTAAACTACATATTCTACTTCTTTGGATCTGGATAAAATTTGAGAGATTCTCCCCAGATAAGATCCTTAATATTCTCTTCTGTGATTGATGGCTGCTCAAAGTCATAATTAAAAGGCGAGTGGCAAACAGGTTCATCATCGACGTCGTGAAGACATGCCAAATAAGGGTGGGCCAATGCCTCCTCAACTGTATACACAATAGAAAAGGTTAAATGAAAACCAACTCAATACAAGGGACAAAATAAAGGAATTGCTCATCTATTGCTTAAAACTCACAAGCGAGTAAAGAAGTACCTGTGATGCGCTTGCTGGGATCAAATACGAGCATTTTCTCAACCAAATCAACAGCCTCAGGAGACATGGTTGGAAATCTTTGTGAAAATTCTTGCTTGGGGAATTGTGGGAATTGGCGAAGATATCTGCGCGCATTCTCACTTCGTAGAAACCCAAGGCTCGAGTCACTTGGTGTACCTAGTAACTATTCAAAGAACAAAGGCTGCCGCTAATTAAACTAAAATTCAGAAAAGCGATAACAACTCATGTGATTACTTAACTCCAACCATAATTCTTTGAACCAGTATTTCCCTCTAAAAACTAGAAAGCTGGACAATTTTTCAAAGTAACCTATGTCATACCTCAGTGATAAGCCTCAGTTGTTGAACATAGTCTTTACCAGGAAACAGAGGTTCCCGTATGACCGCTTCAATGAATATACATCCAACAGACCAAACATCAATAGCAGCAGTGTACTCTGAACAACTTAGGAGCAATTCTGGTGCTCGGTACCAGCGAGTGACAACATACTCTGTCATGAAATCCGTTTCTGATGTAGTCCGTGCAAGTCCAAAGTCACCTATCTTAAGGTCACAGTTGGAATTTAGAAGCAAATTGCTGGGCTTTAAGTCACGGTGAAGAACATTGGCTGAGTGTATATATTTCAGCCCTCGCAGCAATTGATATAGAAAATACTGCATGAATATGCAAGCATCATAAGCATAATTATGCAAGTTCATCAAATAATGAATTAGATACTGCACATTTAAGAAGCTTGTCCAACATAATAGTATCTAGAAAGATTTCAGTCAGTTGTAAAAGGATGGAGCTAAAATTTGACAAAAAGGTAATCGCAAGAGAAGAAGGAAAAATAAAAAGGGAGGAATTTTGAAAAGATGAGGTTCAAGATACAAACTTCAAACTCAGGTAAATTTTAGGGGCATTATATCGAACATGATACAGAGAATAGAAGGGGAAGAAGAGTGGGAACAGATGTACACAATGGTAGGCAAAGATGCAAAAAGTAAGATGCAAGTGCATTTCTAAGGTGGCAATAGTGGAGAGACCGTGAGAGGCATATAAGAGAACCATAAAAACATGTAGACATAGAATTCAATGTCTTGCAGCGGATCAACTGGCCTCAAGACTTCGAAATAAATTCAATGGAAGATCTTTTCTTGCTTAAACGTGAGAGCAGATTACATCCAAACAATGAAAAAACCTTGGGGTTAAGGCCAATAGGGTCTTCCTCACTAATTATTAAAATCATGTAAGATGATGGTGACAGGCATGAATCCCCCAACAGGATAGTAAAGTAACACCAAGAATAAATTAACTTGAGTACTTTGATGTGGTGAACAGATCTCCATGACATATTGAATGAGGTCTGCAGGTTATAAGAACTTTTAAGCCATGAATTAGCATGTAGATTCAACAGATACAAGGTACAAAGACAGCTCTATCACCTTGTTTGAATGTTCAAAACAATTAAATTGAGTATTATTGAGCCAATGACCAATGACAATCATGATCATCATATTGAAGATTAGTCTTCAAGGAAGCATGCACACAGAGGGCACAGACATACACACACATACCCTATGAGAGAGAGAGAGAGAGAGATGAGACAAACTGATACACTCACATGTACGTATTAATGACCAATGACAATCATGATCATCATATTGAAGATTAGTCTTCAAGGAAGCATGCACACAGAGGGCACAACACACACACATACCCTCTGAGAGAGAGAGAGAGAGAGAGAGAGAGAGATGAGACAAACTGATACACTCACATGTACGTATTTAATGTATGCACATCAAAGCACATAAAATTGGTCATAAAAAAACCTACTCTCATATTGAAAACAATTAATTAGAATTTAAAAGGTTACATGCATATAAAGAATACACAATGATTGACCTGCAAGCACCAATACATACCTTGCAATGATCATCTGTCAAAGGTTGTTTAGAGCGTATTATCTGATGAAGATCTGTATCCATTAACTCAGACACAATATAAACATCATTGAAATTTTCCCTATCAGGTGGGCGTATGATATCTTTGATGGCAATAATCTGTAACACAAGAAGGGTAACCTGATATAGTGGGCTCCACACAAAATCCAAATATTGAAAAATCTCAACAACTACTAAGAAGCCTAAACCGTTCCAGCTCATGTAGTGGTAGTACATCCATACTAATTATCTGAGCATCTATTTCAAGTTGATTGCCACTTAGGGAAGAACAAGATCATTTATGAATTGTGCCCTGATTCAAGAAAACCTAACTATCATGCATCCATTCATTGCTTGAATTGACCTTAAAATTCTATCTACCATATGATATTGTTAGTCAAAAGAACTACTAAAAACAACTTCCTCAAAATTACCACTGAGTCAATCCGTGCTCCCTCCCCCAACCAAACCCAGCCATATATCTCTCCCGCCCTCCCTCTTGACCTAGTCAATTTAGAGGTTCATCTGTTAAAGAAGACAAGGTCATAATGGTGACCCAGAATATGATCATTTCCATTATGAACGTAAAATTGTCTTTGTTTTACTTATAGTTTATTGATTTTTACCAGCCCTCCCCAACAAATTCAGCTAAAGCAATAAATTATAGTGTCCCAATGATTACTAAACAATACAAAGAGAAGACTTGAATAAACCTAAAAACGACAAATAACAAAGCCACAGAGAGCTTTGACACCCCAAAAGTCGATGCATAGTTCCATAGATGATTTGCTTCTTGAGAAACAAACGAAAAAAGATCAACAACAACAACAAAAAATTGTTGAGATGATGCACAAAAGATGTAGAATAGCCTTCCAACCTCACCATTGTTCCTAATCAACTAGGGCACACCAGACCAAGAAATAACAACAGAATTCCAGTCAACAAGCTCTTGGGAAAATTAGATTCGTAGACATATCAGAGACATGAATCACATTTGAAATAGAATCAGAATCTTTAGGATGAATGACTAAAGTAAATTGTCAATTTGGTTATAGAAAAGATATAACCAACAGCAGCAGATAACAAAGTGGCATCTTGATATAGACAACTTAAGGTAAAGGTCTCGGAAATGTCCGTTAACGAGAAATAGGAAGAAAGATTACCTAACGAGAAGCAGATAAGGCTGGAAAGTTTCAAGTAAAAGCAATAGGATGGTAGGTGCACAAAATATAGGATAGAATGTTATGAAGTGGATTCAACATGACACAACTAGTCACAGCATCTGCACTAGGACCTCTTATCCTAAATTTCTTTGTCTTCTGAGGACAAGAGGTTCTATGTATCCAAATTTCTTTCAACAGTTACATCACAGTTTAAAATATGTCAAAGCCACAATTCACAGGCATCACAGAGACGAAGTTGCTAAAGTTTAATCTTGTGGTGTCACCATAGAAGATTAACGTAAGAGTTTCTTCATTGATGGAAGAGATGACCAATGTGGAGAAATTCTGATACATTCACATTATAGACTGAAAGAAAAGCATATAAACCAATTTTCGAAGTTACAATTGTTGAGGTTTTGGCCTTTAAAGCCTCTGAGAACATGACAATAAAGAATTATAATGGATTACACACTTCACAGGGAGTTTGTGTGTTGGTTGACTAACCTAGGGTTGTGATGCAGGAAAATTTGAGCGACCATTTAAATCAACAAGAAACAAACCTACACACATGCATAATTCCAAAAAACCTAGGATTTCTTCACCATACCTCAAGCTAGGGCTCCAAAAGCCTATGCTTTTCTATCTTTCAATTTCTAAAATTATTTGGAATTGACCCTCTCAAGACCACACACACCTCTTATATATTATAATTCAGTGTTCAAATACATTACATGTCCATACAATGATTAAATGATCTATATAAAAAGAATTTCAGCCATGTGAACAATACTCGTGAACAGTATTCGTGAATACTACTTATGAAGTAAACAAAAAAATAAAAAGCCTAAAATCCCTAAACCTTAATGTTTTGCCCCTCATCATATAAAACTATAATGTATACACCTTTATTTTCTTGGGATTTTTAATCTTCCATCCCTAAGATACTATGTTTTCCATTCATGCATGGAGATTTTATTTTGGGAAACAACTTTTTGCAAAACGATTACCCAATTCAAATTTTTTCAGACAAATTAACTTTAACTCAAAAAGGATAAAAAGTTGACATACCTATACTTATAGAAATAAGTATAGATGTCAGTTTGGATTCTCACCTCAAAAACGGGGAGAAACCATACAAAAATTTGGGAAAATAAAAAAATAACCTTTTTATGAAAACCCTTTGAAATTATGGTCCAAAAGTCCAAGATATTGTAGCCTAAAACTCTCTGATCCAAACAGGATCATTAGAGTAAAACCCATGCTCTATATCAAAAAAGATATAGACGAGTTTGCCATTCAGTTCAAAGAACTACTAGAAAAAGACTTGATTGAACCAACAACAAGTCCCCATTCTAGTCCTGCATTCATGGTAAGAACCATAATGAAGAAAAAAGAGGTAAAGCCATAATGGTAATCAACTATAAAAGGCTTAATAATCATAGTTTTGATTATAGTCGAGGTATAACGCAGCTTTCATGTTCTGGTGTGGATCAAGATATAAGTATCCAAACTGACTTTCCAGGAGTTCTGGAATTTTCGAAAATTTATCTCTGTCTACCATTTGGGATATTTTTGAAAATATGTCGCTAGCCAAGACTTGTTTAGCCTTTTCTTAGAGACAGATTCTTTTGATTTTTTTGAAAATAGGATCACCTGTTTGATGATCGAGAAAATGTGAAATCTCAAGAAAAGAATTTATCTTATCAAAAGAGAAGTTTTCATTCCAGTCCATTTGTTTAATGGATATAAATATTTTCTCTTCAAGTTTTTCAAAATTTCGACTCTGATTGGTTATCAAATCGAAGAGTGAACTTATACGTTTTCGAAATTGAGCTTTGTTTCCTAAGATATGGTTTTTTCATACCTGGTCTAGTTCTTCATAAATATTGTTTGGAATATCAAGGTTTCTAAAAAAGCTAGAAACTTGCCTAGTTTCTATAGGAAAGTTTTGGTAAAGATCTTTTTGTAATTCTAGAGCTTCTTTGTAAGAAATATTTTTTGAATTTTGGGTTTGAGCAAATTGGTTATTTACTCTAGACCATTCGCTTCCCTTATTGTTTATGAGTGGCCGCTTTCCTTTGTTGTCTGATCCTTTAGAATCGGTGTTTAAAGGATGGTCCCATTAAAACTAAAACTATAATCCTTAAAACTAAAACTATAATATACATCATTTAAAGTTAAATAAAAACAAAAAATAAGAATAATTTTGCCCCTCATCATTCTCCTTTGGTTGGAAAAAACTCGTCTTCGAGTTTTGATGTGTGCTAAGATGAAATTGGCACTAGTCCGGCAACATTTTTCAACTCGAATATTGTAAACATGATCTCAAGACTTGTAGGTTACCGCACCAACCAAAAAAACACAGTGATTGTGCATTAGAACTGAGAAACCCTTGAGGTAAGGGTCCTTGTATGTCAGTAGAATATTTTTAATCACATAAATTTGTTGAAATTGCATCACTTCAGCCGTGTGACCCTGCTGAATTTGCCTAGAGTGAGCTCTAGAACACACCACAGGTGCATCTTTGAGATCAGCGACCAAACCAACAACTTCACCTATCAATTCTCCTTTGAGTCCTTCATCTTTTTCCTTGTCAAATACCAATTCAACCACAAAATCTTGATCATCATAATAGAGGATCTCCTACAAGATCTTGTTATTCATCTAAGTATGCGTCAAAGAATGGTGACATATCCCAATCTTCATCTTGCTAATTTTCTATATGATCAGTGCTAAAATCAAAAATCTCATCCTCTAAATCGAAAACACTAGAGTGATGTTCCCCACATCTAGGTCTTCTGTCACTATGCTAAACACTCGACTCCCCATGCAGAGCGCAAAAGTGAAAGGGCTTGCACTCGAAACCCTATTGGGCTAAAAGATTATCGTCTTGCCAATTATTGAGGCTCACGAATTGATACATCAGGTGCTGAACTTGCGTTTCAAGTTCCACAATTCTGTCATCTATGGGATCACGAAGCAGAGCTACAAAAAATCCTCCTTCTATAGGCCCTTCTCGCTGCCATGGGGTCGCCGAAATCACAAACCTTAGGCAATTAATCAACAAAAATTATTGAAATCAGCAAGATCTAGGTTGCTTTTGACAAAACTTTGGCCAAAAATCTGCAAACCCTAGACCCCCACTGTAACTTCCCAACTTTGTTGTTGATCTGGGGCACAAAACAATTGATCCTACAATAACACCGTATAGTGCAAGTGTACTTCCATACACAATTACAGTACTTCCGTACACAATTACAGTACTTTCCGTGTAGATCGCGAACTCTGATACCAATTTAATGCAAGAAAATTTGAACGAACAATAAAATCAGCAAGAAGCGAAGTTAAACACATGCATAACTCAAATAAAACTAGGTTTTTTCTCCATACCCCAAGCTTTTATCTCTTTCAATTTCTAAAGATATGTGGAATTAACTCTCTCAAGACCCCACACACCTTTTATATATTATAATTCAATATTCAAAATTTCTAGAAATAAACCCTAAACTAAAACTATAAAATATATCCTTTAAAGTTGAATAAAAATAAAAAATAAGAATAATTTTTCCCTTCATCAGGTCAAGCGATCTATGGCCATGGTCATGTCCAAAACCCTTACCCCTAGGTATATAGCACTACTAAAGAAGGTTTTCAGAAGTCATTACTTGTTGAGCTTAGAGAGATGCCAAGTGATGGTTTGTAGGCCAAGAGAGCCTCATGGTCCCTTATGTGCGGGGTCCCTTATGTGCGGATATAGACCTATGAGAGCAAGGGTGAAATCCTCAAAGAACTTCTACACAGCATGCACACATGACAGCCGCATTACCAGTAAGAAACTCTAAGAAGGGATACATGTACATATGCATAGAGAAAGTCTCCCTTGTAGTATAGTGATATGTGCTTGGGTTCTGTCCTTGAGGCCTATATGAAGGGAACCCGCTCATTATCAAGAAGCAACCCTAAAAAAAGATACATGTACATGTGCATAAAGAGAGCCCCCCTTGTACTATAGCTTGTATTTTGCCCTTGAAGCCTATATAAGAAGGGGAACCCGCTCACTCTCATTCACCACATTCTAGCTACTCTCTCTTTTATTCTCTCTCATCCATGCCTCTCTCTCTCTCATTAGTCATTAAAGGGTGGTACGCACCACCCTAGGCTACTAGGGGTGGCATGCCACTCAAAGATAATAGAGAGGGGCACGCCCAGCCCCACCAAGGGAGGTGCGTTTCAGGGGCATGCCCTATAGAGGTCTATAAAGGGGTCTACAACCCTAATCTTGTTTATGTTCTCAAAACCCTAAATCTGTGAGGTATTGTCTAAGGAAGCTTCTCATCTCAAAAAATTCAACCGGGCCGATAGGATCAAAGTGCGCTATCGATCAGAAAATTGGGTGTGGGATCTACTAAGTCCTAAGGGGATGACCCTAGGCAAATTCAAATAAGCCTTCTTGGCTGTTTGGTTTTATTTTTAATCAATCTTTGCTTGTTTATTGGAGTTTTCAAGAACAATATTTGTATTAAAATTTATAGTCAAAGCGTGTTTTTCAATCCTGCAATGTGTCTATTCTATTTGGCAGTAAAAGGAAAGAGATATTTAGGATTTTAAGTCTTGTTTACAGCAGTATTATGTAGCATTTGTCAGTGGAATTCAGATACATAAATAAAAAATGAAAAGAGAAAAAAAATTTTATTTTACTCCCTTGAATTCTACCAAGCCACTGCTTTCACACAAACTACCCTAAAGAGCTAGGGGTGGCATGTGACCCATAGGATAAATAAGAGGGCCAGGCCAAGCCCTACATAGGACCAAGGAAGGTTCCACTTGTGGCATGCCCTAGATAGGTCCAAAAGGGTTTAGTAAAACCCTAATTTGTTTTAAGCCTCAGAAAGCCTATATATGAAAAAATTATTGCCTAGGAGCTTCCCGACGTAGAGAATTCAGCAAGGCCAATAGGATCAATAGTCCGCCATAGGTCGGGTAATCGAGTATGGGGTGGATGAAGGCCTAAGGGGGCGACCCCAGGTAAAGTCAAGTAAGTCTTCCTGGCTGTTTTTAGTTTATTTTTAATCAATATTGTTCAATTTATTGCAATTTCCAGGAACATTGTTTGTATTAGAATTTACAGTTAGGGATTGTTACAATCGTGGATTGAGTCATATTTATTTAGCAGTAAAAAGAGAAGATCCTAGGTTGTATTTAGGATTTTATTTTTTGTTTACAACATTGTTTTGTGGTACTTGTAAGGGAAATTCAGTTATATTAATAAAAGAAAAAGAGAAAAAATTTATACTCTATAAAATTTTACATAGCCACTTCTTTCAACAATAAGCTAGAAATATGTCAGCTGCCTCTATTCAAAATGGTCGATTCATCATTTCCTAAGCATAAAAAGTCTTAGATAAATTAAAACTCCTGCACCAGCTGAAAAAACCAAGCAGCCTTTGGCTGTCAGTATACTCTCTCCAAGAAATTCGGACCAATATTGGTAATTTTTGTGAAGGGTCAAATTTGAGCCGTTCATGCACCAGTCTCCACAGACCACGCAACATTTTGCCTATTGTTTAACAACCATTCTTTATAATTCTTTTCAAAATCAGGTCAAATAAGAATTAATGTGACAACAGCGGCATCTTTGTCTTCCAACCAACCAAAGCTAGCCTCCTTGATCTTTTCTGGGTAGGATGCAGTTCCATCAATTAAGAATACTCAAAGTTACTGGCCCAAAAAGGAAGAAGAGTTGCGAAATCAACCATAATTGGCAAAAAGCAAGATCACACTCAAGAATAAAAGGAATCACGAAAATATTCTGCTACAGAGACACTTGTTTGCAATTCCCCCTCATACCTTTCAGGAAAACACAAAACAGACTAATCAGTTACAATAACAACGATAATCCGCAAATATTTACCATCCATAATCAGATACACAGACTCTGAGAGAACAGACACTCCACAACCTTCCTTCTAAGGCATGGTGTTAGTAAATATATGACCTGCATGACACAGAAAGGGTTACACAAAGGAGGTTTTGCTTCTCCAAAAAATCTTCAAAAACTGGGAAATAGGATAACTTGCTAGTTGGGACACTCTTCCATAGAAAAAATAAGATGAATGGAATTCTATTCACTCGTGTAGCTAGAGGATTTATTGTTGTGACTGCTAAAAAAAATAATAATAATAGTAACCCTTGCTCTGATCCTAAATCCCAACAAATGAAAAAATTTATAACCATTTGATCCCTCACGTAAGTTCTGTCCTTCCTGAAAACAGAGCACGATAAATGTGCAACATGCCAACACAAAAAACTATATGAATCCTATTGAAAGAACAACTAGCCAAGGACACTTTGGAGAGAAGGTTTACACTTAAAGCCTGAGTTGCCCGCAGATCTCAGTAACCACGCCTTGGCTACAATATTATGAGATATTTGCCCAGAGTCTCAAATATTGAAATTGCTTTACGAGATTGGCAAAGTCCCAGATTTATGTGGTTTGACATAGGAGACAGGTAGAAAACACTAAAATAACCTCCAGGCAAAACCTGATAACAAATAGTGAAGAAAACAAATTAAAATTCCTTCAATTAAAACAAAAAATCATAGCTAATAAGAACAACACTGGACATCCCAACAATGGGGAATTGTTGATGTTGAATGCAATCCAAGGCTCACTAGGCAAGGTCGAGCAGATATTGGTATCAATCATTTTCGTCAATAGATGTAACACTACAATACAATGAGCACAGACAAAAGAAAAAAGACATTATATATCTGGTTTCCATGTTTTACTACTTTGATCATTTCTCTTGTTGTCCTCCCAAGATATCCAATCCAAACATATATCAGATTTCATATCTCGGGAGAGCAACAAGAGAAAGGATCAAAGAAAACAAACACAAAAAACAGGAATAACATAAATATTAAGAAAAATCTTATGCAAAACAGAAAGTACAAATGCAAAAATGGCCCTTCTGAAGCTGGTTGGCAGCATTTTGCTAGCAAAGTATTTAATGGCTAAAGGTACATCATCTGAACTCACATTTTCATGATCCATATGAAGAAGGAGCTTTATTTCTCTTAGAGTCCTTTTGGCATCGATTCTGTTATCAAAGGCATTACCTATTTTCTTGATAGCAACCTCTTCATTGGTTTCTGAGTTCACAGCAGAGCTGCAGAAAAATGCATTCACATTCATTTCGATAAGTCGATGGTAAGAGGAAAATGTCAAAAGACAAGATAATGCTCATACTGACTTAGTTAAACGATTTTATATTTTATCAATCCTAGCTGAAATGCACTCACAAACAGAGCCCAACAAGTTAAAATAATCAACCATTGAACCTTGAAAAAATATTTATTTTTTTTTATCAGTAGCAGAATTTATTGATAAACTTTGTTGAAATGATTCTTCAACAAGAAACAATACAGTGACGATCTAGAAAATAATCAATGTACACATCACACCAATGGCAGAGGGATGTTCTTCATAGCATCCTTCCCAGATTTATAGCCTGATCCAGCACATGCTCAGCTCAAAGATGGCACCCATTCAACCAAAGCAATAAATGTTGCCCTAGAAGCATCTCGGCAGCATTTTTGCATTCTAGGATAGGCATACATGAAGCTTAACATATAAATTTAGTAATTAGATATTAAAGACTGGCCTTCCCTCCAATTGGCACCAGCTTGCAGACCAGTAATGGGAACTAATCCAAACTCATTGCAAGTCTATCAGACTGGTGATCCTAATGGAGCTATGAGCCATGCATAAGGATATTCCAATAAAAATGACAGGAGTTCATACTCTACAGAAGTCCAAAACCTAAACTACCTTGGAGAGGTTTAAAGGGACAAAACAAAGTAACGAAAAGGAATGGTAAGGCAGGTATTAAATATCAGTTGTTAGATTCTTTCCTGTTTACACTAGCTAACTCAACAGTAAAAAACAAGCAATTGCCTGGAATCCATAATATCGTACTTGATCCATAGCCTACTCAAGCTTTCTTGACTTGAAGTGTCTTACATAATGAAATTGAGGGCCCTAATCTTTCAAAATGGTGCTATAAATAAGCTAAATGCACCTCAACATCATTCCAGAAACTGGATTAACAATGATATGATCAATTGATAAGAACCAGTAGGAGTTTTGTAGACACAATTATGGATATATTTCATTACATATGCAATGGGCAATTCAAAAGTAATGTGTAATCAGGGTGAATAACTAAAACTTGTAGATATGATATGTACCTTCAAAAATGAACCCAAGCTCCTGGCATCTCTTTATATGTATGTGCTGTTAGGATGGCAGAATTTTGATGCAAGATTAATAAGGGGAAGGAAGTTTTTGACTTCTGACAACAGGAAGGTTGTTTGTGGAGAGTAAGAAGTTTGGGGGAAAATGCCTCGTTAGCATAGTCGCCTTTGTATGTAGCTTTCGTCTTTCTTTGCCCTTGAGGGAATAACTGGTGGGTAGGGAGCATAGTCCAAAGACGTAATAAAGAAGAAAAAGACAACAATAGGGAGGGGGAATCCATAACGAGGAAATGGTGGTCAAGAAAGAAAAGGCAATGCAGACTAGAAATGAGGATACTTTTTGGTCTTTAAACCGGTTGACTCGACTTATGAGTAATTGTTGTGCTCGGCTCTCAGGCAATTCAATAACTAATGCTTCTTTATTTTGATTTCATCAAAACATAATTTACAGCAAAGGACACACTGATGGGCAGCATAGCAAAAAATAAAGAGACACTGATAAGCAGTGACCCCTGATATAGAGTTTGTAAGATTGATTATATGTTTTAAATGGAGAAGCCATCAACTTGGATGGAAAATGGGGAGCTTTCAATGCTATCAAAATCTCCTAGTCATGGTATGGTAGTAACTCGTGGATGAAGTTGATATCTCTATTATAAATCTTGTTCTTTACTTTGCAATGAAGACATTGTTACGTGTGAATGAGAAATGTTGTTCTGATTGCAGGTGCAGTGCAATCCTAGAGGCAAGGTTAGGGAGGTGTTGTAGACATCAGGTGATGGTTGGTGGGTTTGCCTTCTTTATCAAACAATAAGTTGGTTAAATGAAGGTCTTGGAGTACTTTTTCATATTTTCCTCGAGAATGTAACTCTCATATGTCTCCTCCAGATCTTTCTGTAAGGACTTGTTTCACGAGATACAGTAAGAATTTAGAGTTAGTCACTTCCACCTTGATTGGCAGCCTTTGTTAGTCTACAAAGAAAAAGGACCAAATCTTTAACAGTGATTTTTCCAATAGAAGGGCTTCCACCCTTTCACTTCTGGTAACAGTAGGGTGTAAGGATACCATCTATTCCCACGGATTTGCTTAACCTCGACCTTTTGGCATTATAGGTTGTCCAGGGTAGAGATGGATATTTCCCATTTTGAATCTAATTCCTAACAGAAGAGTGTCACCCTTATCCAGGTTTTTCTCCATCTTTCTTGGTGTTAAGATTTCTAGGTAGCCAAGGTTGAGGGACATGTACGGTAGCTTACTAAGAGACGGGTTCAGTGGTACCAAGAAAATGTGTTTCCCTTCTCCAAAGGTTCCCAAGGTCTAGTCACTTTCATTGGAATAGAAATATGATGACACTTTGGAGAGAGGATATGAATTGCAATTAAGTATTTCAGATGCTTCTGGGAAGATATAATGTATTGAGATGCATTAAATGGCGGGATTACGGGAAACCCCCTCCTCTCTAGGAAAGTTACCAAGAAAAAAGTCCCAGACAACAGTTTTTGGGTATGGAAAGAGAGAAAAGAGAAAATAATGCCAATCTTGCTCTCTCCCTCTCTCTCCCCCCCTCTAAAAGGTTACATTTTAAACCCCGAAACCCACCTAAGTGTCATTTATGACCAAAACCCACATGTCTATGCTCTGCAAGACAAAAAAAACTAACCGAACATGTTTAAAAAATGATAGAGAAATAAAAAGGGGCAAGGACTTTGTTTCAATAGCATCATCAGGACCGCCTATTTGGTCTGGACTGGTCGAACAAGCCAAACCGAGTATCAAACTGGATCTTCACTGGTTCAATGCCAGTTCATTTGGCCCACCAGTTTGAGATCCCCTGTCTGAACGGTTGGCTGTTCTGGTCCAATCTTAATGTTATTGGTAATAACTAAACCCCAACCTAGTGCCAAGGAAGTCGTGCAACGAGGCCCAAAGATTTCACCATGTCTGCGAATTAGTTTTTCAGCTTTTACATTAAGTATTCTAGTGAATTTGTGCTAGCAGTGTGGTGTTCCACCTACATGTGCTTAGTGCGCATGTATAATTAAGGAACACTGCCTATTTCGCAGCCAGTAAATTATCCTAGTACGTACTCATGTAAAGAATGATCTTGATCCCCACACCACAGTTGATTAAAACATCCCAACCTTAGTTAATAGGATCCCGTAACATGGGTAGCAGTACTGCTTTGGGAACATAATCCCGCGCCCCTGGAGTGGGATCGAGGTCCTTGCTACAGTCCCATGTTGGGAGATTGCAAGCCGAATCTCATAGAAGTCGATGAATAGGTCAACATACTCATATTCTTTATATTTTAAAAGGAAAACAAGCAGTAAATACATGTCAATCAAAAAATGAGAGCAATAAATGCATATCCATCAAAATTGAAAGCAATAAACGCATCTCAATAAAACAAGAAACAATAATAATTCAAGAGGGAAAAGATTTTTAAATCTGCATCAGTCAAAAAGAAAGTTCTGAATTCAATGCTCCCAAAATTGCATTTTCTGCAAGAACAGTGGGTCCAACTTCTGTGACAAATTATTTTGGGATTTTAATTTTTCATCTTTCTAAAACATGTTTACAAGTGGGCGAATGATTTTTCTCTCTTATCTCTCTATCTTTTCTCTCCCTATATATTTCTCTCCTATCTCTCTCTACCTTTTCTCTCTCTATATTTCCACAAATTAATTTTCCCTCTTTTTACCACATGCTTTCATTTAAAAATAAAAATTGAAGTGTAGGTAGACGTGCAAAAAAAGGGCAGGACTTGTATCTAATTTAGCCAAATAATTTCATTTTTTACCATATACAATGTATGATCAAATAAATATCTTTAGTATATTATTGTGAAGGATGTATATATGAGAAGAAACCAAGTAAATAAATACTCTCAAATTCTTTTGAGTAAACCTATTTGTAAGCATAATAAATATATTTCTAATATATTAACTTTTGCATCTAGATATTATTTTAATGGAAAGTATAGAATGAGACCATTTACCTTTGACACAAGGTGGTCATAATAATCTTGACCATTGGATGTGAAGTTGGGTGGCTGCAATCATTCCATTGACCAAGCTCAAACTTCAAAAGCAATTTTCTTGAACTTTGTGACACATCCAAGCTATCAAATTTCACATCAAATGGTTGTAAGGAATTGTGACCACCTTGTATCAAAGGTAAATGGTCTCATTGTATGCAATCGCTTACTTTAAAATGTGCAACAAATCTTTTATTTTAAAAATTCTCCTTTTTTAAATATTATATTTTACTGATGCTTGCATACTAGAGAACCTCTAGCAAACATCTATCCCCTCCTCTAGCTTCCACTCCACACCCACTTTGATTTGGCACTTGGTCTCATCACCAAGCTTTGTTGCAACAAGTGATTCCTGCTTTTACTGTATACTTTGATTTGGCACATGATATCACCACCAAGCATTGTTGTTCACCATTCCACATCACAAGATTTTCCCTCACAAGCATGCAATATTGAATGTTTATCCGGTGTTCTTGGTAGTCATCCCCATCTACATCAATACAAGTGGGCATGTGGAGATCACAAATAAGCATGTAGAGACTGCATTTTGCCAATGTGCTCTAAAGATAATATCGCATTCAGTTCATTACATAGAAATGTTTTGCCCTAGGTACTTGTGTTTATTGCCTAGAGTGACAGCAGTGAAGATGAGGTTGTCACTGAGAGTCTCTAACACCTTTCAGACATTTGAAAGCAGCAGTCACAGGCAATACTTGGTAATGATTATGCTAAACAGCAGGCAAGATCATGCTCCACATTTTTTCTCTCTGAAAGGAATTCTGAGAGAGAGTTTCTTTTGTAAGAGAGACATGTAACTTTCTTATAGTGTTAACTTATCAGAGGGAAATAGTTCAAAGCTTAGTGAGGTCCTTTACATCAACCGCTAGTCACAGATGTCCATCCAAACATTGTATACACAAAAAACATAATATGACTTCTCGACAATATCATGTCATCAGTAACTCAGTATTCCCATAAACCAACAGCACTGCGGCGCCGTCCTCGTTTATAAAAAGGGGATATGTTGCATACCATACAATCTGTGAAATGAAGAGGTAAACATGCACACATCCACCATCAGTAAAGAAATGGATGGTCAGCATGAAGCATTTTAGGGACATAACAGATGTTGCAAGGAACCATATGTATGCAGTGAGTCATCTCTGCAGTCAATCATTTGAACCGTGGTGGTTGTGCAGCCTGTATTACTACCACTGACCGTTTTCTAAACATATGGTGGGTATATCTGCCAGTGAATCAAAGGTACCAACTGGATCTCATTGTGTTGGTCCTTTCTCTCTCTATCTCTCTCTTTTTTTTTTCTTTTCTTTTTTTTTAACGACTTGCAAAATTAACCCAATTCGCTTGTTTTAGGTTGGGGTGAGAGAGGCTTGAACTCTCAATCTCAAGATCACTCGTACACTATGAGAACTACGCGATCGCCAACTGCACCACCATCCCATGATTAAAATTTGACCATTTCTCGATTTGTGCATGTCATCCTTACGCAAGGGCCTTGCTAATCGTCTCTGTATTGTACCAATTTTATCGGATGTCTCTGAAGAGACGTTATGTTGGTCCCCTTCCCTTTGGGCACATACCATCAAATAGGTCTCAATCTTGCAGAGGATAGTCTTGTGGCATTTGGTCTGGTAGTGTCATGGCCATTTTGTGCAAGCCATTGATTCAAACCTTGAAGTCTTTCCTAGTCTAAAACAAGATTATTAGACACAAAAGAAAGGAGACATCCAAAATAGAAGAAGCTGTGCAACCTGGTGCATCTCCCTTGATGTCTCCACCTAAAGGGAGCACAAAAAGGAAGCCAAGCATGTCCAACATAGCATCATTAGCATGACCATAGATAACAACTTTCAAAATGACAAGACAAGGCTTTAGATATATTGGTGCTTTGGATCACAATTTAAAGACTCAACAAATAAGTTGTGACTCAGCCTAGTCGGTTCAATTTGGGTCACTAGTGGGTCACTGGACAGACACAGGTCCAACATGGAACATTTGTGCGTTAACTCATTGGGCAGACACAGGTCTGAAGCAAAACATTTTTCCGGCATGTTTGCATCCTTGCCACTTGAGGTAACCTGTTATTTTGCTGAGGGATCAGTTATAGCGGCATCCCTTTAAAAATTGAAAACGTGCACCTTTACTTGTAATAGTGAGTTCACTTATCCAGTTGAGTAGTGTTTCATCTATCATGTAGTGACATATCCATAAACTTTTTAAGATTGTTAATTAATATTTGTGATATGATGGTCCTAATATTGTATGAATGTTCGTCGCTTGTTAAAGGACATAACAAATTTCAAGTCCTTGAATTTCGAATTGGATTGTATCAGTCATGTCTGACTTGGAGGCAGCCTGAGAGTAATTCGAGACTAGAATTATAGGAAATTGCATTAGATCATAGAACTTGAAACCCTTTTGGGAAGAAGGATAATCAAGGAAGATGAATGCTTGGAGATTGGATAAAGATGGCTCTCCTAACACGAACAATTTTACGTAACGCTGTCTGATAGTCCCCTTTATGGTTATCACTCAAAAATGGAACACACACACGCACGCATACATCATCTGAGCCTTATGCCAACTACTTGGGATCGGTTACACAAATCTTGTTCCACCATTCTACTCTCTCAAGGGCCATACCCTCAGTCTGACCATAGGTCACTTATAAAGATATTTACATATAATTTGATCAGGATTCATGAGATAGATGTGGCAAAAGTTTTTGGCTGGCTGCTCACCCAACACTGTCCTCCTCCTTTCTCAGGGCTTGGGACCGGCAAGACAGGCTTGCGGCCGACCATAGT